ACTCCTGTGACAGAGGACTCACTTCTTTTCACCTCCCTCCTTCCAGGCTGTCTATCATTTATAAAAACTCTTCTTTATGTTGGCTCTAAATATGACTTGCTCTAGATCAGTGATTCTCAGTGAGGAAAGGGGATAATTTTGTAACTTGCCAGGGAATGGAAACCTTTTGGGATGTCACAGCTTGGGGCACTACCAGTATCTAATGGACAGAGGTCAAGGATGCTACTAAACATCCTATGATAACCCCACCCAACAAAGAATTGCCCAGCCAAAAATGTCAATAGCAGCAAGATTGGGAAACTCTGCTCTAGAGTCAGTCTATTTAACCACAGAGAAAGTTTAACTGTTTACATTCAGTGGTCTATCAGGTACTTGGAAACAGCTAACTGCATGAAGGCTTTTGCACCAAGTTCTGCAATCATTTTTCTGATGCTCCTATAATAAGACTAGCAATTCATGTGTGACTTTCCCCCAAAGCATTTGAATTTAAAGGAGGAATTAATCAGTGAAAGAAGGCAATACTTAATATAAATCAATCCGTGGTGGTCTACTTTAGCTCTGTGGAATTGAATGGAGGAAGTAAAATAGAATGGTATGTTTATGTGTTCATCCTCCTACCCCATATAGCTAAAATCTATGAAATTTACTGCAAGGAATTTAGCTTCAGGAGTTAGTCTTCTCAGGCATACAATGTGAGCAATGCATGGCATGCCCAAATCCATGTCATGGTAAACTCTGTCATAATGACCATCTCCCAGAGTTAGAGTGTTCCTGGGATGTAGACAGTGCTAGAAATTCTGACCATACCAGGGATAGGAAAGAAGTAGTAATATCCTTTTAAGGCTCTCTTCTGTCCTTTCTATGAGCCAAAATTTTAGATGCCATCTAAGCTAGATCCCCATTTGTTGCTGAATTCACTTTAACACTCAGGGACAAAACAATAACGAGGTCAATTTATACCTGCCACGTTCTAGCTAAAATTTGCTCCATCTAGGCAAGAAAGACTGAGGAAATGATACTTCTCTGAAAAGAATGAGTAACATTTCAAGGAACATTTTCAACTGGACAATGTAGGAGCTAACTACAGTCTATTTGAAAAGCACAAGCATAAACGTTGCTTCAAAATAAGTACCAGGTAGAGAATTGTCTAGCTAAAGGCAACCGACCTGATTCTCTTCTTGAATACTGTTTTCCCTGAAGTGGGTGGATTGCAGGCTTTTAAAGAAATACAGGATACAGTTTTAAAAATTCTTTGAAAAGAAACTTATCACCAGAGAGGATGAATAGATCCCATGTATATTTGCTAATATCGAAGGATTTTGGTGCTACCTTCCATTGATTACTGAATTAATAAATCAATTAAATCAATTGCTTTATAAAAGGGACCACCACAGACTGATTTGTTGTACTTAGTAAGAATGTTGGGAAAATAATTATCCAGTTTCTTTATCAGTGGTGATACAACTTAAGCCAGCAAGTCATTAAGAATTCCCCCTTTCATGCAGTTTTCATTATCAGCAAACACTGTCTATTGTATGAACTAACACAGCAGGAGATATCTCCTAGGCTGACTTCCAGAAGAATTCCTCTCCTTTAGTGGGAAGATAAGAAAAGAAGAAGCTGGAGAGAAAGCACCTCCTGAAGCAGTCCCGCTGATAAAGCCCAAATGGGGAGATTACATGACTAAACTGACCCAACTGTTAATACAAAAGGGAAGATGCACAAATGCTATCATTCTTTAAAATTTTCTCTCAGCAGGCAATTTCATAACTGAAAACTCTGCTCTGGGACTGAATGTTACGATTAGATGGTAGGAATTTTTTAAATTATGTGATTTGTACTCACTTATTTCTTTTACAGATTCACCCTCTTTTTGTGTTCCCCTAATCAGTTCAAGCAAAGACAATTGCCAGTACATATCCAGGAAGTCAAAAGTAGGCAAAAATGGATGGTAGTGCCACCAGCTATCACCACAGTTCCCAGCCCCAGAGTGTATGATGAGAATCAGTCACAGGAGGAGTGTATGAGTACAAGAGGTACACAGAGAGATCTTCCCTTGTAAAATGTTTCCCTCACTGGTGGACAAGAGGTCCTCAAATTCATCATTAGGAATTTATTACTTTGGGTTGCCATTGGCTACATTTGTTAGAATTCTTATTAAACAGGATATATATTTCAAAGGAATAATGTACTTTAATTCCTAGCTATATAAGAGCTTCTTAAAACTTCTTTTTATTCAAGATGCTTAGCCAAAGGCCAGGCCCTGTGTGAAAAGGTTCCTTGGAAGGGTGCCTGGGAGTCAGTGTATAGATTAATTGCTCCAACTCCCAGCTTTTGCTTGGTCTGGACCAGTAGTCAGGAAACCTGGGAGCTGTGGAGGAGGCAAGCCTCTCTCCTTTCCCTTCTTCCTCCTGTCAAGGTTTTTATCCTCTTGCACGTGGACATTTGATCAGCCTCTTTAGATTTGGCATCTCATTTACACTATGGCCCTATTAGCCTTTCTCCAGTGCAACTTTCATTCTATTGCTGTTGTTACTCAAAACCTTTCTAAAAGTCATTTCTTACCTACATGAACTATTATGAATTACAGTCACTGTTGTAATATTTCATAGTAGTATTGGACCCCCCCAGCCAGATTTTAAGTTTCTTAAGGTCAAGGTTGTGTTCTATATGACTTTAGAGTTGTCTCTAACCCCTGTCACAGTGCAGTGCACACAGTAGGAGCTTAATACAGATTGACTTGCTGGTTAACCCCATGGGGAACTATGAATAACTTCATGGGACTGCTTGGCTATAGGCAAAGCCACAGAGTTGGTTTTAGATATAGCTTGTCCACTGACTTTTCCTATAGTTTTAGAGACATAATAGTTACCATTAATTGAATCTGTTAATTTTTGGTGAGGCATTTTCCATAGATTTTCTCAACATATCCTCTTAACAAGGTTTTGAGGTAGATGCTATTTTTCTCATCTTACAGCTTAACCAGTAAATGGTGGAGTTGGAATTCAAACCCCAGTCTTCCTGATGCTAAAATCTGTACCTTTTCCATTTTAGTGTTATTTATGCTCTGGAGATAAAAACCATATCAGCATTTGTGGCTTTACGGTGATATTGACTAGACAAATGAAATAATAAGCCAAGTCTTTTGATGAGTAAGAAGTGCTTCTTCCCTTGAGAACAAGTACAGGGTTTTAGTAGCCCACATTTTTTTCTCCTAAACCAGTTTGACCTCTTCTGAGAAGTACATAGATAGTAAAAGAATAAAATTAGACTACAAAAGTCTATTTGCAAGGCATAGTTTCTTAATTACCTTGGATAAATTGATATTTACACATCTGCTGTAGAGTACCATTTACTGCAGTGGGAGAAACTAAGGTCAGAAAAAGCACATATGGAATCCCTTACTGCAGTAGTACTGGGTATAATATAGATGTTTATGAAATGATTGGCACTCATCTGATAAAATTATGATTGAAGTATGACAGAGAGATATTTTTAATTCTCTTTTCTCAAATAGAAAATTCCATCTCTCCTGATCCAAGTATGGAAATAGTGGCAAAGTTAACATGATGTGCTTTGAGATGTGCAACATTTTTTATCCATCTAATGAACTCAAAGGGTGTTTATGAAAAACCAATTATCCTAATTACTCATAATATGACTGCGAGCTCTGAAGAAGGAAAGAAATTTGAAATAGCTCATTTAGAACAGCACAGAATTATACCTAGAATTTCAAATGCCACAAATCTGGGATATAGAACTAAGGTTATTCCAATGCACATAGAGCCAATTTAAGTGGTTTGTGACATATAAAGACAACATGAGTGTAATATGGCTTCCCTTAGTGCTTGGGGCTTTGATTATAGTAATCTGGTAGGAGGCAAAGTGTATGGCTCTTATAATCATAGACTTGGATTACTGTGACATTAGTGCTCTCACCAGAAAAATTGTTGAACGTAAGGTAACATATAGAAAGCATATGAGGTAGTTAAAAAAAGCACAAAAGTACAAAAGATCTGAGTTCTAGTTTTTGTGCTATTCATCAGTGGGTGTTTTCATGAAACCAATCTTTCTGGTTTTCTGGGGATTGGAAAATGAGAAGCTTGAGATAGATGATTTCTCAGCTCTTTTATTTCTCTAAAATTCACTAACCCTGTAAGTGAGCATCACAAGAGTTTGAATAATATTTCTTCTTTCCCCAGCAAAATTATGAGAGCCAATTATCAGTGTTTTTTTCTAGTTTAAGTTGTGTGTTAAAGTGATTTTCTTGCTTTTTCGGGTAGTAATCTGGCTTCTCTGCATACATTTTTAGGTTCATATCCTGAGAAATTATTTATATTTTATCTCTGAACAAAATGATGCTTTATTTTGAAAAAAAAATATAGCTCTGTGATATTATACCTTCTTGTGTTTGATTGCATCAATGTCTTCTAAGCATTACTTCATCTTACACTGACACTTTGTTGTGTGACTTTCAGCACTTGTACTGTGGGCAGGGCATAATTACTTGCTCCTTGACTTGGGGCTGAACCCTGTGAGTTGCTTTGGCTAATGGGATGTTAGCAGATGTGAAGCAAGCAGAAATTGAAAGGGGCTTGTGCAGTTGAGTTTCCATTCTCTTGCACCTCTCCATCACTCGGAGAAGAATGTGGCTGGGAATAGGAGGATAAGAGACAACCTGGAGCATAGTCACCTCCAGCTAAAGCCAGCCTCCATCAGCTTATACCAGCTGATCCTCAGATTTGTATGCTAATAAATGGTTTAAGCCACCAAATTGTGAGGAAGTTTATTATGCTGTGATAGCTACTTGATATACTTGTAAACAATTTTGATTGGTAGAAAAATGTTCTGTCTGCAAACCTATATTATCCAATACCAATAATAATTACCTTGTTCAATATCATCCATTGATGAAGTCAGTAGGATATTCTCCTTTTGTTCCCACAAGACATAAGAGTGAAGAGACACAGCCTATCACCAACAGCGCTGGCCAATCTTACCTGTATGGAGACGCTGCTGTAAGAGCCGCCAATGACCCCTGCAATGAGCAGTGGCATATTTTCTTGAATGGCATAGGATCCATCAGGACACATATACTCAGCTTCATCCACTTTAGTCAAAGATGCTCTGACAAACTCCAGTGATTGCTCTAATGCATAGGTATCCCTTGAACATGTATCCAAAATGTGAACACCCAGCTTCACTCCTGGCAGCAAGTAATTGTCTTTGTTGATTTCATCGATAGCAAACAACATGGCTTCCAGGCGTTGGATCCCACGGTCTTCATTGATTCGCCCACATTCTTCAGTTCCAGTGCCTTTTTCATTAATAGGAAATAGGCCCCCTAAAACAAGGTCACCTTCTATTTTAATCTCCCTCCTTAGAAAGTTATGGTCCCCTAAAGAGAGTAAAAATCCCTTTGAAAATAAAGCTAGGGTAAGAACTTGGAGTCTTGTCAACATCTTCATGAGTCCTGTTTCTGCACTTCTGGGAGATATCAATGGTAGAGCTAATGTTGCCGCTAGTCCTCCTCTCTCATTTCCAAACTGGATCTTTGGCCTGCCCTTCAAATAAGGGAGGAACAGACTAACAGAGCTTGTCACCAAATTCCTAAAGAAACAAAAATTATATGAATAAAAATGACAAAGAAAGCAACAGAGATTACATTGATGGTCCATCCCCAACCAGACCTTTGATGGGATAATGACTCACAAAACCATTCACTAAACACACACTTCACCACTGCACCGGGTACTCTCCCACAGGTATTCTCACTCAGTCCTGACAACTACGATGTAGCTCTTAGTGAAGAATGGGCACCAAGGACCTAAGTGGTAAAGTGACCAAAGTGTACTTTGAATGGATGTAGGGGTCAGAGTCTAGTTTTTCTAATGCCAAGTCCAGTATTCTCTCTGCTGAGTCATCTACTTTGTGTTTGGTAAGGCAGCAACTTGGATATGAGTCTGCATGCCCTCTCTTTCAGCTGTATCTGTAAACTTACCCTTTTTATGGGCTCTTTCCCTTTTTGTTTGGAAACAAAACAAAATGCAATGAACTCTGTAACCATTTCTGCATTTCTACCGTCACATCCCTGTCCTTCCCTTCATAGATGAGCGCTCTAAAACAATTGCTTGTGGCATTGCCCCTCTTCTTCTCATCTTAGAAGCTCTCAGCCTACTGAAATTAAGATTCTGCCTCCCCTGCTCTAACACAATGTCTCTGGAAAAAGCTACTACTGATATACTAGGTTCCAAATTGAATAAACCCACTGTAATCCTCATTTTACTTGACCTTAATCAAAATCTTGGCTATTCTTTTCCTGTTACAACTCCCCAGATTTCTGTGCTCATTCTTCACTTTTGACAACATCTTAAATTCTATTGTTTAGCACTTGTCCTCCCTCATCCTTCTACCCACCCCCATTCCTGGGCTAACTCATCTATTTTCATAGTTTCAGTTACCACTTACATGAGCTCCAGACTTCTAGGTCAACTCCTGTTAAATAGCTTTACCAACACATCTCTCATACCCTTCAAGGTCTGCATGTCATAAATTCTCTCTTTATCTCTATGAATAGATCTTCTCTGTTCCTAGGCTGTCAACCCAGAAATCTGCATTCTAGAGTCCTCTCCATTTCATGCCCTGCTATAATCTTCTTATTAGCCAGTAACCCTGTAAAGTCTGCCTGTTTAACATGTCAAGACTGCTGCCTCTTTTCTATCCCCACTGTACTAGACTCTTGTAATCTGTAGCAGGACCACAGCAGTAAGTTCCTATAGAGCTGCTGCCAGCCTCCTAAATACCTTTTTGTGAATTCAGAAAAGATACTCTTTCTCAAGTTCAAAAATTTTAAATTCATTATTATATAACCTGTACAACTATAAATGATGAGAAAAGTGCGATTGCTGGTTGCTGCCTTCTCTAGCCACTGTTAGGAAACTCCTGATGTGGCCCTCACTTCTCAAGGAGTGTAAAGAGTGCTAGTTCTGGGGTGTGCATGGTAGATTGCAGCTTCAGACGGTTCCATAAATCAAGCTTCTTTTTATATCAGAGACTAGAACATACACATCCATTGAGAATCAGGCAAAGACCTGCTGTGAGGATAACGGTTTTGACAGTAAACTAGGATCTTCCCAAGGAACTTTCCAAAACTCTGGTATGGGGCAGTTCAGTGGCTCATACACACGAACCCATGGACCTACTGTTTTATTCTCTGACACCTAGATCCGTAGCACCAGAGTAAACCCTTGATGCGCACAGTCACTATGCTGGCTCACCTCCCTACCCAACAGATGAGATATATTTATTATTTTCAGAGGCAGGTGAGAGATGCAACAGCATGGGACCTGGGGAGCATTCTTCCCACAGTGTACAGCCACATGTCCTTGTTGTCCTTGTGTGTGTGGTTGAGTGTGCCTGTCTACTTTCCTCCTTATGCAGGATTGTGTGTTGATAGGGTTTCATGAAGGAGAGGCTCTCTGAGCTATTCCCTGACTCATTCAGGATGCCTGAAACTCATACCACCTGTGTGAACTCAGATACATCAGCAAACGTCAACAATTTGAATCATATCCCATTGGAGGAGACACTCAGATGCACAATCTTTCTTACTTTCCACAGTGGCGCACCTCCTGCCAATCTATACTGATTTTCCTTTGCCTGCAAGTTTTAGAATTGACTTGTTATAAATCTATTCTCAGTGCTCCAGGATCTTGCCCCTCAGGAGCTCTCAAGTCCCACTGCTCACTGTGCTCATCAGCTTCGGGCCCCTCCGCTTTTGAACCTTAAGTTCTAGACATTTTAAACCATGTGCAGTCAGTAGGTGATCAGGATGTTGATGACCCTTGCTCCTGCACACGCTGTTCCCTTTGCCAGTAATGCCCTTCTAGGCTCATTTCTTTGGCAAACATCCACTTACCATTTCAGATTCAACAGTCTCTACCAGAAAAGCCCAAGTGTTCTTTCCTATGTCCCTCCTCCAAATTGTTTATTTCCTGTTTTGTAGTCGTGCTGTAGTTTGTTCAAGAATTATTTTCTATTGCTATCATAATTTATATTTTTTTTTGCATGCTTAATGGTAATAGATGAAATGGCACAGCATTTAGGATTTTTAAAGTACCAGGAAAAAAAAAATCTACAAAAAAATCGAGACAGGAGCTAGTCCAGTGTTTACCTCAACATTTTTGACACTTCTTCCTTCTTGTGTTAGCAGTGCCCTTTAAAATCCAGCTCTCCACTTGCTCTCTGTTCTTTTCACATGGAGCAAGTGACGGGTTGTTTGCTTGAAACTCACAGTCAGCTGGGTTATGTTTTGTTTATTTATTTATGTGTGAATCTCAGCAATGATGGCAGCAGTCATTGGAATGCTCAATGGTAACCTGGGACCTCTCTGGGAGATCTGCCACAGGTCATCAGAAAGTCTAATAATAATAGTTTTTTTAAAAGTTGATACTTTAGTAGAATTTTTTTTTTTGTTTCATTTATCAATTTCTGGTCTCTTTGATCTTTGTGTGCAATTCCCTTTGAAGCAAAACTGCCATGGACGGCAAAAGACACTGTGATCATTATTGCTAATGATAAAGATGCAGAAATTGCTCTATAAAGTAATTGTTTTATGTGCTTATAAAAGAGAATATATAATCAAAAGAAGGCCATCGATCCAGACTTTCTATGTATCTTCATAAAAAATATAGACATCTTTTAAATGTGAACAAAGTTTGACTACTCAAAGAGTAAAGATGACCGTATAGTCTATGGAAAGTTTAATTCTCTATTGGGAAAGTGGTCTTGCCAAAGAAGACTTCAATGAAACATCATGTCACACCAAAAGTGATAGTCCTTATCTGTCTACCTGTTTCACAGGTGGGGGATGTGTTGTATTTATCGTTGTGTATCTAGGGCCTGGCATAGGGTCTGCAATACAGAAGATGGTTAGCATGGGACTAAAGGTTTCTTGAAGAAATATAGACATCCGTGACAACTATGTTTGTAAATGACTGTTTGCTATTTTATTTGTGGCATGTGGAATGGGAATTAAAGAAGAGAAATAGGTTGTTTTTATTTCATTACCTGCATGATCGCTTCAGATGCTCTTCCCATATTACATTCTTTGATGATAGGACTGCCAGCAGGTAGAAATATAGTAATTACTGCTGATGAGGAAAAAATAAAAAAAACCAACCAAACCCTGTAAAATAATTTAAAAAGGTTTATTCTCAGCTGAATCTGGGTGACCTAGAGCACATGGTCTCAAGAGGTCCTGAGAAAATGTGCTCCAGGCAACCGGGTTACAGTTTGGTTTTATTCATTCATGGAGACAGGAAATACATGTAAAATCGTAAATCAAAACATGGAAGGCATACATTGGTTTGGCCTGACAAGGTAGAATATCTCAAAGTGGGAAAGTTTATAGGTTTTAGGTGGGTTTAAAGATTCTTTGATTTGTTATTGGCTAAAGAAATGAAGCTTTGTCTAAAGGCTAAGAATGTTTTAAGATAAGGAAGTCTGTTAATCGGAGACAAGTCACCAGACATTTAGGACCTTTACCTCAAAGCTCAAGTGATCTGTTAAGTAAATTGATGGCCTGCAGGTATGGTTTGAGCTTTGTCTTGTATGACCTTAGGTCCTGTTAGTGATTTAGTATCTTACTGTTTCAGAGAGTAACTCCAAAAGGGAGAGGGGATAGTGAGGCATTTCTAATCTCACTTCTCCTCATGGCCAACAACTCAGCTTTAAGGTTTTTCTGGTGTCCCCTTGGCCAAGGGGGGTCCATATAGTCAACTGGGGGGCTTAAGATTTTATTTTAGTTCACATTACTTTTTTATTATATTTTGTATTATGCAAGAGAAAATGCTGCCTTTGTATTTGAAAATTGCAACTGAGGTAGGTCCCTAGGAAGCTGGGAGAGATGTAGACCTGAGCTGACCTACATTTACTTCTTAAGTTTTTGGGCGAGAGAACATACATATTATCCTTTCTCAAAGCTTCAGAGATGCATTCACCTATGAAATATTTATTGAACATCTACTATGTATGTGCTATGCTGACCTAGATACCTAGGTGTGTATCTATGATACTATGTGTGTATCTATGATACTATGTGTGTATCTAGGTGACCTAGATACCTAGGATATGTACTTTAATTGTAAACAAATGAACATTACCCATGCTGTCAAATGACATTCTAAATGCTTACACATTTTTATATAGAGCGATGGAAAAATATGTATCTCTGTTTCTACCAACTATTTCCGACATTTGTGAAAATCTTGAAAGTAAGTATACCATGGGTTTCCTTTAATATGATAATTGTTACTAAGTGCTTGGCTTAAAAAGCAACCTGTTCATACTACATATAGTATATAAATTTAAAAATTATACAGACCATAAAACAAGTTGGTTGATAACAATTTAATGTAAAATATTTTTCCTTTAAGCCCTCTGACAGGGCATCTTTAAGTAACATTTAATGTAGTCTTAGAGACTTACAAATCGAAGATCAATTAGATCAATATTTAAATTCACTGTCTTAGTATTTTCTTATTTACCTTTCCTTTAAAGCAGAATTTATAATGATTAAGATGTAAGATCATGCATAATTTAGAAACACT